TGCACTCACTCACTGCAGACTGTAGTCTTGTCAATAAGCTCTGTATGGCCTCAATGGCTCAACGGTAAAACCCAAAACTCTATTCAGATATGCAGTGTCAGCTATGACTCAGTAGGTGTTAGTTTTACCTTTGTCAGAGGTCATGTGTTTGAGTTCCACCCCAAGAATTTGAGCACCAGAGCTGTGATACTTCAGAGCAATTCAGAAGGATACTACCTTTCAGATATTATGTTAAATTGAGGGCTTGCACGTAATCTCAAGTGAATGTTAAAGATCGTGACATATTTTGAAGAAGTGCAGTGAGTTTTCCCTTGCGTTCTGATCAATATTTATCTCTCAACCAGTGCCACTTATTTCATTCATATCAATTTGAGCTTTAAGTGTACAAATTGGCTGTCATGTTATCTGTACTACAATTGTAACAATGCTTCCAGAAAGTACTGCTTTGGTTTTGGAAGGTTTTTGGGATGTCTTGACATTATTGAAGATGCAGGTGAAATTGGAGTAGACAAGGTTAAGAGAAGATTATTTTAACAAAAGTGCTCTTAATCATGAATAATTTTGACAGCATAAACAGACTGATCATTGGCTCAGTAAGTAAACAGAGGAAGATATAAGATAATTCACAAAAGAAGTACAGAAGGCGATGATTTCTTTTTGCATAGCAAGCATGCTGCCTGAAAGGGTAGTGGAAAATGATTTGATTAAAAACCTTCAAAAAGTAGACTAGACAACTACTTGAGGAAAAGAAAATAAAAATGCATCTCTGTAGGCAAAGTAAGACTAGCAGTGTGGGACTATTCAAATAACACTTTCAAAGAGCTGGGACAGATGTGATGGGCTGAATGACCTCCTACTGTATTGGGTCATGCTATATAAATACTAGTCTATTTTTTTCAGGGTTTTTTTTCTGAGGACTTACTAAGGTTTTCGTGAAGATTTATCATTGCTTCTGGTGGTTTAAAATTCATACCCTGATCATAAAACATAGTATTATGTTAGTTCTTTCTGATCTTATCCAACAACAACTTATATCTATATAGCACCTTTTAATGTAACAAAACAGTTCAAGGTGTTTCCCATAAGGATTATAAAACAAGGACTGCACCAAGTCACAAAAGGAAATATTAGGTCAGAATTACCCAAAGCTGGATCAAAGAGACATGTTTTAAGAAATGCGTTGAAGGAGGAAAGTGAGTTAGAGAGATGTATGGAGAGGTAATTGGGGTCCAGGTAACTGAAAACATAGTCAACATTGGGTGGAGCATTTGAACTCGGTATATGCAAGAGGCCAGAATTAGTGGAACGGAGCATTTTTTTTGAGGGGGAGGATGTTGTCATTGTGATGCTGAAGGAGTTTCAGAAATAGGAAGAGAAAACGTCATGGACAGATTTGAAAACAAGGGTGAGAATTTAAAAATAATGACCTTGCCTGACCAGGAAACAATGTGAATCAGCCAGTACAACATGATAAGGGATTAATGTCTACTATGATTTAAAGACACAGATAGTTGAGTTTTGGGCGACCTTCGATTTAAAGAGGGTAGTATGTGGGAGACCAGCTGGGACTGCTTTGGAATATCTGATTCGAGAGGTAATGATAGCATGAATGACAGTTTCAGTAGTAAATGAGCTGAGATAGGAGCAAAGTCAACCCTGTTATGTGTAAATAGGGGGTCTTAGTCATAGCTTGAATATGAGGCTCAAAGCTTCTCTCAGGATCACTCAGTATCCATTTGAGTTATTTTTTAATATCTCATAAATCTGAAACCCTCATTGTTCTGCTGGCACCAGCAGTAGGATCATTAGGCTTGCAAACACAACAAGGAAGAATCTGAGAATCAAAGGGCAAAAAAAATCTTTTGAAAAGAAAATACCAAAACTTGCACATCAGAGAGAGAACACCTGTAAAGGCACTGATATGGACTCTCCAAGGATGCTGCTCGAAAATAGTTACGCACGATTTCTGCATTTGAAGACCATTACATTTGAAGCAATGACCACGCACACTGCCTCTAAATTAGAAGTGATCCTCTGGTTAAAACTGCCAGCACTTACAGAAATTAAAACCAGGTTTACTAACCAGTTGGCTCCCTGTTATTGGAGTGGCGACAGTTTTGGCACCAGAAATCAGAAGCATTAAACTGTTCTAAGCTTGCATCAATCTGGTTAGCTTGGTCGTCTGTATTTATTGACAGATAATTTTTTAAAGGAGTAATTTTTTTGTTTCCCCTCAAAATGTTCTTAATCATAGATTTTCCAGTGATGAAATAGTGGAACCACTTAGTGAAATATGAATTTGAATGAGTCCCTCAATTAAAAATCCTGACTGTTGACCTTGAGAAAACATCAGTATTTATTCACAAATTCCAAACCAAGCTAATAAACTAGAGTAATATCTGTTTTTAAGAGTGTTGTGCATTTTGTACCATAAGATATAGGAGCAGAATTAGGCAATTCAGTCCATTGGGTCCAATCCACCATTTGATCATTGCTGATATGTTTCTCAACCCCATTTTCCTTTCTCTCCCATAATCTTTGATCCTTTTACTATTTTCTTTCTTTACTGTTTCTTTCTTAAGTACAGTCAATGACTTGGCCTCCACAGTCTTCTGTTGTAATGAGTTCCACAGATTCACCACCCTCTGGTTGAAGAAATTCATCCTCATCTCAGTTGTAGATCCCCTCCAACACCAGCACAACCTTCCTTAGTTATGCGGCCCAAAACTGCTCATGTTATTCCAAATGCAGTCTGATTTATACAGCCTTAGCAGTACATCTCTATTCTAGCCCTCTTGAAATGAATGCTAACATTTGCCTTCCTAACTGCCAGCTGAATCTGCATGTTAATGTAAGAGAATTCTGAAATAGGACTCCTAAGTCCCTTTGTGCTTCAGCATTCTGAAATCTTTTCCCACTTAGAAAATAGTCTTTGTCTCTCTTCTTCGTTCCAAATTGCATAACCTCGTACTTTGCCACATTGTATTCTGTCTGCCACTTCTTTGCCTCTCTCCTTGCCTGTCCAAGGCCTTCTGCAGCCTCCCTACCTCTTCAACACCACCTGCTCCTCCACCTATCTTTATGTCAACTGCAGATTTAGCAACAATGCCCTCAGTTCCTTCATCCAGATAGTTAATGTATAAGTTGTGGTCCCAACACTGACCCTGCCATCCTGAAAATCCTATCCCCACTTGCTGACTTCTGCCAGTCAGCCAATCATCTGTCCATGCCAGTACCCGGCCTCTAACACTGTGAGCTCTTATCTTATTCAGCAGCCTCCTGTGCAGCACCTTGTCAAATGCTTTCTGGAAATCCAAATGTATAATGACCACTGGCTCTCCCTTGTATAACTTTCTTGTTACCTCCACAAAGAATTCTCAAAGATCTGTCAGGAATGAACTCCCTTGAAAAAGCTGGGCAAACTCAGCCCTATTTTACTACGCACTTCCAAGTACACTGCAATCTCACCTTTAAAAACGGACTCAAACCTTGCCAACAACCAAAGTCAGGCTAACTGGCTTATCATTACCTATTTCTGCCTCCCTCCCTTCTTAAGCAGGGGTGTTACATTAGCCATTTTCTAGTCCTCTGGGACCCTCCTTAATGCCAGTGATTCCTGAAAGATCACCACCAATGCCACCAAAATCTCTTCAGCTATCTCTTTCAGAACTCTGGTCCAGGTGACTTATCCACCTTTCAGCTTCCCCAGCACCTCCTTAGTGCTGGCCACTCTGCTCACTTTTGGCCCTGACTTACTTGAAGTTCTGGTGTGCTGCTGGTGTCGTCCATTGTGAAGACCACTGCAAAGTACCTATTCAGTTCCTCTGCCTTTTCTCTGTTCCCCAATACTAGTTTCCAATGTTGTTTTCCAGTGGTCTAACATCCAGTCTTGCCTCTCTCATACCTTTTACATATCTGAACAAAAACTCTTGAATTTTTTGTCTTTATTACTTGCCAACTTATCCTCATATTTCATTTTCCCACCCTTTATTGCCTTATTAGTTGTCGGCTGCTGGCCTTTAAAAGCTTCTGAATCTTATGGCTTCCCACTAATCTTCACACATTGTCTGATTTTTCTTTTGCTTTCATGCTGTCGCAGACTTTCCTCGTCAGTCATGATTACCTCATCCTCCCCTTAGTATGTTTCTTTTTCCTTTGGATGAGTTTCCGTTGTGGCTCCCAAATTACTCCCAGAAACTCTTGCCTTTGCTGCTCCACCATCTTCCCTGCTAGATTCACCTTCCAATCAACTGTGGCCAACTCTTCCCTCGTGTTTGTAGTTACATTTCCTTAATTGTAACACATCTGATTCCAGCTTCTCCCCCTCAAACTGCAGAGTGAATTCAATCATATTTTGGTCACTGACCCTATTAGTTCTTCACCTTAAGCTCCCTAATCAAGTATGCCTCATTACACTTCATCATTGCATTAACATTTCACAAATTCCTTCTTGGGATCCACTACCAACCTGATTTTCCCAGCCACCTGCACCTTGAAATCCCCCAAGACTATTGTAATAATTCTTTTCTTGCATGCCTTTTCTACCTCCTGATTTAATTTCTGTCCTACTCCCTGGTTACTGCTTGGAGCCCTGTGCATAACTTCTATCATGTTTGCCTTTGCAGTTCCTCAACTTTAACCACACAGATTCTATGCCTTCCAATTCTATATAATTTCTTGCTATCCATTTAGTTTCATTTCTTAAAAATAAGGGAACCCTGTCCCTCTGTCCATCTGTCTGTCCCTTCAATAGGATGTTATCCTTGGATGTTTAGTTCCCAGCCCTGCTCCCTTCGCAGACACATCTGTGATGCCCACAACATCATACACATTGAAAATGTGTGAGTGATTTCCAAAGTAATTGAGTCAAACTTGCTGGCCTGCTGTGAAAGTCTTCAGTTAAATCCCTCTTTGCGGCCTACAATTAGTAATACAGTCTCTGTTTCTTTCCTATTTTGTCACTGATGCATTTTGTCTGATCTTCTCTTTCTTTATTTCAGAACCCGTCTGATGCAGAGCTTTAAGGAGTCACACTCCCATGAGTCGTTGCTGAGCCCCAGTAGTGCAGCAGAAGCGCTGGAGCTCAGCATCGATGAGGATGCCATCATCAAACCAGTGCACAGCAGCATTCTGGGTCAAGAGTTCTGCTTTGAGGTAAGAGTACTTTTTGAGCAGGGGTCTGAAGGCTTCTTGTAAAGCAGTAATTCACTGCATTGTCGTTCTGAAGTTCAGCCCAGTCTGTAAAGATTGGTAACTTCGGTCACATTGGTGCCTTCTGACAGCACCAGGTGAATATTTAAATGATTAATTTTTAGATTGTCTTGTAGCCAGATTATAGGTATTGATAGAGGAATAGATAAAGGACAGGTTATGGCTAGTAATGGGAGTGAGTGTAGGATAGAAAGAGGATCAGAGTGGCGAAATGAACTGGTGAGCGTTGGGGCTGGAGTTAAAGGATGGCAGTGGGATGGAATGAAGATGGGATTGGGTAGGCGCAGAATTGGTGCGTACAGACAGTATCGAGGTGAGAATGCTCGTATGGATAAGTGGAAGATAGGACTGGGACTGATTGGTAATGAAGATAAAAGCTTGGCATGGAGAACGTGGTTGGATGCAGGGTGAAGCTGGTGGGTTGTGATGAGGGTGAAGCAACGGATAGGGGATGGTAATTGAAGTTGACATAAGTGTTGAACAAGGGGTTAAATATCTTGGAATTTATTCTATGTATAAACCATCGTAACATCTCAATTAAATTACAACCTGTAACTCACTCCCAGTATTCTATATCTCAACCACTTGAACGCCTCGATTTGACTCCAGTCTATAACTCTCTCCCAGGTATCCATTATTCTAGATATAAAGGATCTGAACCCCTTGATTACATTCCAGCTGGTAACTTACTCCCAGATATCCATTATTCTACATATAAATGTCCTGAACCCCTCAATTAGATTCCAGTCTGTGAATCATTCCCAGATTTTAATTATCCTATCTATAAATCACCTGAACCTCAATCACTGCCATCTCTGCTATAAGGAGAATAGCTACCATTTGTCCAGTATCTCCATGTAGTTATCATCTTTGTGGCATCATTTGAGTAATTCTCTCTATCTCCTTTCTCTGTCTGTTTCTCTCTATATGCATACCTTGATAGTGTTGAGACAGTGGATTGAATTAAGGTATAAATAGAAAAGGTTTCATGCATTTATGTCACCTTCCATAACAACCCTATCACAGTTATTGTGAATAACTTATCAGTTTATCATGTTTTCCATTTGCAAGGGTTTTTTCTTAATTTTAGTTTGAGAGTTGAATGAATTATTCTTAAAATATGCATAGAGAACTTGATATGACATGTTACGGTGTGTAGCTTCCTAATGGAAGGAGAATCCAGAGGAATACCTATATTATGTAAACTTTACTGTCACTTTGAGAAACAACATAACGTGCTTTTGTGGAACTATATTGTGGTTCTTTGGAGCTGTAGTTTGATGTTGAGGTAAAGAACTTTGTCTTGGGTCTCTACCCTGCAAGCCCCTCTGGGGAACATTCAGGATGCAAAGTGTTTGCATGTTTGTGAATTACTGGTGTTCAAATGTAAAATAGGGACTTACGTAGCACACAACATAGATCTCCCTTCAGAAAGTCAAAATATTTCCTCAGAAAGCATAAGTCTCGTAATCTTTCGGATGTATGGCGGCCCTTATGTCAAGGAGGTACTGTATAGAAGACAAATGGGAATTCAGCACAATGGAGTTTTAAAAATTCTTTCACGGGATGTCAGCGTTGTTGGCAAGGTGAGCATTTGTTGCCTGTCTCTAATTGTCCTAAAATTAAATGGTTTTCTTGGCCATTTCAAAATGCTGAAGGTGTGACTAGGTAGAGTATACAGATTTCCTCCCCAAAAAAAACATTGATTGTAGGAAAAAACCTTCTTGTTCATTAATGATATTTTTATTGTCAAGATTACTGTAACTAGTTTGGAATTCCAGATTTTATTAATTTAATTTAATTTAAATTGCAGTAGCTGTCATGGGGGAATTTGAATCTTGTCCCCAGAGCACTAGCAGGGCCTCTTGATTGCTAGTTCAGTTGTGTCACCCGTGTGCCTCCATCTCCCCTTGTAGGAGGGTGCACAATGACATATAGTTGGATGTGAAAGACACACAATTTTCATCAATTTTCACAATTTGCAAAATGAGGTACAGTGTCAGAGAGAACACCCAATTTTGTCCAGTAGGATATGGGGAAGTATAGCGAAATAGAGGGGACATATAATGTCGCAACTGGGACATAAAGAATTCACAATGTGGTATTGTGAGATGGAAAGGACACACAATGTTACACAGTAGGATAAGGAGGATGGACAATGATGCTAATTAGAAGTCGAACACATTATTCTGTTGAGTTAACACTGTGTGGAGCTGGAGGAACACAGCAGGCCAGGCAGCATCAGAGGAGCAGGAAAGCTGACGTTTCGCGTCTGGACCCTTCTTCAGAAATGGAGGTTATGGAGATGCACAATGTACTGTATGACAGAGAGGACACAGTTTTATACAGTGGGATATGGAGGATATACAATGTGTACAGTGGTAGAGGAGAAAATGGGTTATTTTGGGAAAGACAGGACAGACAGTGGGACAGTGTGGAGTATAATGGGTAGGTACTGCAGCATTGAGGAATATAAAGAATGACATTACACAATGGCCACTTGGATTTTGAGAAATGGAATCTGAAAGCTACCTAATGAATGACAGCAATTGTGAAGATATGCTGTCTGTGATGATGGGAAAGTCATAAGGAGCACAAAAGCATCTGTATTATATGCCAGATTTTCTCAAGTCAGACTTGATCCCAGAACTTTGCCTCAGGTAAGAATGTCACTGACCCAGTTAAGGGAGTGAGTTGGAGATAGCTGAGAAGATGCTTTATTTCTGAACCCTTGGCCAGTTTGGCAGCAAGGATAGAGAACAAGAGAGCACAGATTTAAGGTAACTGGTAAAAGAAGCAATGGCAACATAAGGAAAACTTTTTCATGCAGTGAGTGGTTAGGGTCTGGAATGCACCAGTTGATGGCGCGTTCAAGAGGAAGTTGGATTGTTATCTAAAAAGGTAAAATATGAAGGATTGTGAAAAAGGGCAAAACTTATAGCCATGTAGTAACAAAAAGGAACCATTCAGGCTCTTGAGCCTATCCCGCCATTCATCGAGATCATGGCTGATCTGTACCTCAACCCCATTTGCCGACCATTGCCCTGTCTTACCAACCAAAAGCCTTAGCAATTTCAACCTTAAATGCATCATCTGACAGAACTGCTCCCTCTCAATACTGTACTGGAATGCTGACCAAATTGATTGAGACTGTAACTCATGAAGATTGACCCAAAGGTTGGAGCACTCCAACCTATTTGAAGCAGTAATTTGTGAGGGTGAGAGGGAGTAGGTCAGAGATGATTAGAGATGCCTTATTACTGAATTCTTGATTAGTTTGACACCAAGTAAACTCCTGATACAGCTAGTGTCCACTTGTTCTCCTATGCACTGATGACTTGTCTTTGTCTGCAAATGGCAGGTGACTACGCCATCTGGCACAAAATGTTTTGCCTGTAGGTCAGGGGCTGAACGAGACAAGTGGATCGAGAATTTACAGCGCGCAGTGAAGCCAAACAAGGTATTAATTCTATATCACATTATTTGGGCATTTTAGAAGTTTAATCCATTTGTGTGTGTATATGTATAGACATTGTGTATTCTTGATCTACATACTAAATTATGTTTGATCTCCTATGGCTGATATTATTATGTCTATTATTACAAGCGATTGTATCCATTGTTACATTGTAACAGGGTCAAATTACCTCCTCAGTAAGCTCACTGCAAACTTGTCTGCTGAGCCAGCCTGCCAGCAAATGTGCCTGTCCACCCAGTGAGTTTAGTTATGCTTGTTGTGAGCTACTATGTTTCTTGCAGGCTTTAAGGTGGCCATATTTGTTAATGCCTGATATGCTTGTTGTGGGCTGCTACACTTGTTACGGCCTGGAAGATGACCATGCATTCTGTGCTAATAACAGCACACAATAATTATGATAACCCATCAACTCCTCTAGTCCTAGACTCTCCCATAATGGATTTTTTCTTTATTCATTCGTGGGATGTATCACTGGCTAGGCCAGCATTTATTGCCCATCCCTAATTTGCCTAGAGGGCATTTAAGAGTCAACCACATTGCTGTGGGTCTGGATTCACATGTAGGTCAGGCCAGGTAAGGATGGCAGTTTCCTTCCCGAAAGGAAATTAGTGAACTGGATGGGTTTTTCCAACAAGTGACAATGGATTCGTAGTCTTCATTAGATTCTTAATTCCAGGTTTTTTTTTTTTTAATTCAAATTCCACCATCTGCTGGGTGGGATTTGATCCCAAGTCCCCAGAACATTGTCTGGGTCTTTTGGATTAACAGTCCAGCAATAATACCACTGGTCCATCGCTTCCCCTTATAACCCCTACCCTGTCAAGTCCCCTAAGAATCTTGGATATTTTAATAAGAATGCCTTTCATTCTTCTAAATTCCAATGAGTACAGGACAACCCACTCAACCTCTCCTCATATGGCTGTCGATCCATACCTCCTAATAGTCTGGAGAAGATTCACGAGGCTATCTCCAATGCCAGCCCACAATGAAGGTGGTGGCCAAAAAAGAACATAGTGTCACAGCTAAGAGAGGTTGTGGCATTCTCTTTGGGCCATGGAAGTCATCAGGGCTGAACACATTGTATTTACAAACACTCCTTTCCAATTAGAATCATTTCATAGTACTCTTCTTAAGCTACAGATTGAACCTGGGTCCTTTTCAGCCTTTAGAGTTCAGTACCATGTTGAACAACTGCAGAAGCTTCAATGAAAAAAACTAAGTCAGTTCAATGTACTTCCAAATGATGTTGGAAACAAAGTATTTCTTTCACCTGGCTTCAATTACCTGGTTCTAATGTTGCTGGGTCAACATACTAGGTATGCTGCAGAACTACAACCAATTTAAGTACAATATCTCCCTCCTATCACTCCTACATTCCCCCGCCCCCACAGCTTTTATTGAACCATTGTCTATTAATATTAAACACTCTTCCTCTGATGGCCTAGATGGGGTAAACATGAACTTGAATTTAAACAGTGTCATTAATGACCTGAGGACCCTTCAAAACCTTCCAGACTGCACCCTTTCTTGAATCTTCTGGTTCTTTGTGCCCACCTCATTTTCATTTTATCATCCTCAGCCTGTCATTACTTGCATCCCTCTTGCCCATCATTTGCTTCATACACTCTTTCAGTCTCCCCAGACTACCTTTATTTCTGAGTTGCCCTTACACCGATAGTTCCAGAAAAGGCTTTCTCTTTCTGGAGTGCTGCTTTTGATTCTTGTTGATTTGAATTTATTTTTTAATCACAGATAATCCATACACGAGAATGTGTTTTAAAGTCGGCATGTATCATGCCCTCTTCCACACGTGGGAAATCACTAACCCTATCCTCCAATTACACCAAAAGTGAAATCTACATGTGCTTCGTCGGGTAGAGCTGTCAGGTGGATCTGACCTGCAGACAATGTGTGTGTCTGACTGGGCCTCGGATACTGATTTTATCTTCGACATTCTTGTTTCCTTTCCTTAACAGTTTCTCTGAACCATCTCTTTCAGTCTCCCTTTTCTTTTCAATATCCTTCAAATGTGTCACACTCTCTTCCCCCACTTTGTAACAGTGTCTCTTTTGCAATTCTCTCAGAATCCGAATTCTTAGCCAGCCAGCAGGGAGATGTGAGATGCACGTAATTTAACTTTATTCTCCACTGATTCCCCTTCCTCTTTCCCTTAACCTCTGTCATCACTCCGTCTCTCCCCTTCTCTCCACTGCATGCTTTCTGTATCCTTTGATCTGTCCCTATCCCATCACCCTATCTGTCAGACTCTCCTTCTGTACCAGTGCTTGTCTGATGACACACCTGGGGCATCCTATTTTGTTAACGATACATACTAGCTTTTGTGCTTGCTCTGGTGAAGTTTTGAGTTTATGTGGCTCCACGTGTACCTTCAGTTTGGAGGTCTGTTATGAAACTGAGTCCAATTCCAGGCATTTAGAATTTTGTGTACCTACCATCCATCAGCTCAGAACAAGACAATTAGAGTTTGTGGGGATTTCTTTGAATTGAAATGTTTTCTTTTAATGAATAAAACTTGCATTTCTCTCCTTAATCCCTGTTATGAAGGCCCAAGGTTCTGGCTGAACTTCCAACAGCAGCCTCAGAACTTGATCCATGCCATCCCTCTCCCAGGCTCCTGCCCCATCTTCACCCCACATCACCCACTATCTCCTATTCCTCCTTTGGTATGGCTTGGTAAAGTAGACCATGGCTTCAGCTAGCGCTGATTGGAGCTCATGTTCTCTGTCTCAGCTCACCTATTTATTCAGAATAATTACAACCTAACTGACTGGGTTGGGATCCTACAGGAATGGGTGACTCTAATGGGCAGTAAACTTGGGAGCAGGGGTGTGAGTGTCCCAGCATTGCATCCAATCCTGTCAGTTTCCCAACATGCAGTTCTGGTTAAAATTGCTTGGACCTTCCTCTTAACCTGATGACCTGGTGACCCCAACCTAGCTGTCCCCTGACCTGGTGACTCTTGGGTCAAATCCTCCTCCCAATATGATTACTGCTAACCTGGACCCTCCTACTAACCTGCTGTGCCCTAATCTGGATCCTCCTCCTGATATGGTGATGCTAAACAGCCTCCCTTCCTAATCTGGTGACTCCTAACTCAGATTTCCCTCCTGACCCGATGACCCCCAACCCAGACCCTGTATTTAACCATCTCCCCTCACCCCTCCTTGTCCCTTCTTGCAGGATAACAGTCGACGTGTTGACAATGTCTTGAAGCTCTGGATCATCGAAGGCAAAGATCTCCCACCCAAGAAGCGCTACTACTGCGAGCTCTGCCTGGATGAGATGCTGTACGCCCGGACAACGAGCAAGATGAAGACAGACAATGTCTTCTGGGGAGAACACTTTGAGTTCAACAACCTGCCGGCAGTGCGCAACATCCGGATCCACCTGTACAAGGATACAGACAAGAAGAAGAAGAAGGACAAGAGCAACTATGTGGGGTTGGTCAATATCCCCATTAGTAGTGTGGCCGGCCGCCAGTTTGTAGAGCAGTGGTACCCAGTCAGCCAGCCCAGTTCCAGCCGGGGAAAGGCAGGTGGCCCTACCATCCGTATCAAGTCCCGCTACCAGAGCATGAACATTCTCCCCATGGAGCTGTACAAGGAGTTTGCTGAGTATGTAACCAACAACTACAAAATGCTGTGCGCGGTGCTGGAGCCTGTGCTGGGTGTCAAGAACAAGGAAGAGGTGGCATGTGCACTGGTGCACATCCTGCAGAGCACGGGCAAGGCAAAGGTAAGACAAAACTAACCTCCTTGTTGACCACGTAGAATCAGACCCTGAGGTAGGGGAAGGCTTCCTCGCTGAGGTGCGTTCTCTCCTCTAGGTAATTCAATATTAAGAGGAGCATAATCCTTAGAATGAGGAAATGCAGTGTACCCATTGCTACCACTGTGACAGCCAATGAGTCAAGTGGCACGTTGCTCATAGCAGAACTTGTAGTAAACTGTCTTTTTACAGAGTCTATTTACTCAACAACCCAAGACAATTTGAACAATGCTTTAAAGAAAACAGTCTGCGGAGTATATTTGAAAAAAACTCACCAAATACAGCATGAAGTCTGAAGTTGCTACAACTTCTCCCAATAAGCAGAGTGGGGTCTCGAGTTCTGAGGCAGTCATTGCTGCCATGGAGCTCTGAAAAAGTTGTAAGAACTGTTCTCCCTCTGTAACAGGCCCCTGCTCTCTCAGACCCTGTTCCACTGTCAGTCCTCACCAAGGGTTTGCGATAATATTCAAGCGTCAACATGAGGCCATAGTGGGGAAACAAATAAGGAAAATGGTGCTTTAACCTCTGGCAGCTATGAGCCTACTCTAATAAATCATTCCTCATCATTCACTCTTCTCATCTCAAAAGTGTTGCTTTCACTCTACAAAAAAGTAGATCCTTTCTTAGGTAAAGTAACCAACTGCACATAGTGCTCCAGCTGTGACCTCTATACTCTATACTCTGATCCCTTTATAATAATAGCTCTCCATTTCATTGAGGGGAATGACAGAACAGATGCAGTATTGCCTGTTCAGCTAGGATAGGGAGGGAGAGAAGAGGTAAGACAGGATCAGCTACTAAGTGATACCCAGACCAAGCTCCCAAGTAGTCCATATTGATGGGGGAATATTCTGCAGCCACCCGTCTGGAAAATAGGGGCTTCAGGCTTGCTGTTTTGCAGCATACTCTTTCAACTGGCATCAACAGTACAGAGTAGAATTTGCCTCCAAAGTGTCCTAAAAGGAAAGTAAACACTTCTAAGAGTTGCAAAGAAGTCATAAGGCTTGAAACATTAACTTTCTCTTCACAAATTCTGCCAGATCTACTGAGTTTCTCCAGCACTTTGTTTTTCTTTTATTTATACAGTGCATTCATAACCTCCACATGTCTCAAAGCAATTTACAATCAGCAAATTACTTTTGAACTGCAGTCACTGTTGTAATGGAGGGAAACAACAGCCAGTTTGTACACAGCAAGCTTCTGTCAACAGCAATGCCATGATGATGTGATCCTCTGTACATATTGTTGGGCAGGATATAGGACTGCAGGAGCCACTCACAACATGAATTCAGACAGACTCCATTTGATACTCAGTAGACTCATAACTTCATATCAACTGAGCACCACGGGGCAACCTCACTCTAAGAGGCCAAGGGTAAGGATAGGTTTCACACTGGTGTTGTCGGGAGAGAACTCGCAACTCCAGTTGTAGTATACCATTGAGAGAAAATAAAGGGGGCTTCAAGCTGAATCTAGTCCTTGCTGCTTCCAGTCTGAGTGTGTTTGATGAGAATTATATATCTTGAAATTGAAAATCTTCAATTTTACAGTGCTATCATCCCTCATCAGCACTAAGTTATTGAAACAGCTGATGAGAATGGTGGATTCGTCTCCCTTCTAGCCACTGTCTTGCAAACAATTTTCAGAAGTGCTTCTCAAATCCTCAAGTCATATCCTGTCAGGAAGTGTAACCTGTGAAAATGTGTTCATTGCTGGCTGAGTCAGACTGCATCCAAATGTTTAAAATATTCCTCACCCTGGAAAGTTTATTGGGATAATTCAATGATAATTCATTGAGACTCAATACCTGTCTGAGGGGATTAACACTTCCGCCGCCTTGACCCTGTCCTGTCAGCGAGAAATAACCCTTTCACTGCCCCAAATCTGGCATGTGGGTGGGGATTAACCCATTCACTGCCCCAAAACTGTGATGTCTGAAGAGATTAACTCTTTCACTGCGTTAATTCTATCCTGAAGGATGTAATCCTTTCATCTCCCTCAACCTACTCATGCTGGATTTAATCTTGTCTAGACAGGCAAGATTAATCCCTTCATCACTTTGAAACTGCCCATCAATGATAAAACCTTTCACCATCATAACTGCCTAACATAGGTTATCCCTTCACTTGCTGCTCAGCTATTAACATTTTACTCACACCATCTGACTTTTGATCACCTACGGAGACTTATTATTCGGCCAGTCGAAACTCCACTATTTGTATGATCTTTTGATCTCTCTGCCTATAAATTCTGTGTTTGTTTGCTTCTCTTCGCTTCACCTGATGAGGGAGAAGCACTCAGAAAGCTTGTGATTTCAAATAAACCTGTTGGACTATAACCTGGCGTCGTGTGATGTCTGACCTTGTCCACCCCAGTCCAACACCGGCACCTCTACGGCCTAGCTAACATGGGCGGGGTGGGGGTGGGGGTAGGGGTTAATCCTGTGACTGCCATGGCCCTGCCTGACAAGATTTACCTTTTCACAGCCTCAACTCTCCCATAAAAGGAATTTATATTTTTCACACTCCGATCCCATAATATCAATAGGGATAAACCCTTTCATCACCTCTCCCTGTCTCAACAGAAGAAGAGATTAACCCCATTTCTTATCTCAGTCCTGTCCAAACAGTGGGGATCAAATCGAACACTGTCCCAACAGTGATGAACATTTTCAATATCATGGCCCAACAAAGTGGATAATTCTTCAAATGTCTCAAAACAGTCTCGAGAGTAATTAACGGTTACACTGTCATGACCCCATTGACAGAGGAGATTAAACCTCAACTCTGCCTCATAGTGATGGTTGAACATGTGTTGTGTAAAATGGGTAAGACACACTAGCACATAATAAAATCCCAGGTCCTGTGATAAAGGGAGTCCAAAACTAGAGGGCATAGGTTTAAGATGAGAGGGGAAAGATTTACAAGGGACCTAAGGGGCAACATTTTCACGCAGAGGGTGGTGCATGTGTGGAATAAGTTGCCAGAGAAGTAGCGGAGGTTGGTACAATTACATCGTTTAAAAGGCATCTGGATGGATATATGAATAGGAAGGATGTAGAGGGATATGGGTCAAATGCTGATAAATAGAACTAGGACATCTAGTCAGCATGGACGAGCTGGACCAAAAGGTCAGTTTCTGTGCTGTACATCTCTATGACTCTCTAACACCTTTTCTAATGCGGTGGTGAAAGTGTTCATTAATATCACCTGGCAAGATTTCCATCAACTGAAACCTTGATTTCTCTTAGAAAAGAACGTGCATTTGTCGGGTCTAGGCCCGAAACGTCAGCCTTCCTGCTCCTCTGATGCTGCTTGGCCTGCTGTGTTCATCCAGCTCTACACCTTGTGATCTCTGCATTTGTCGTACGCCTTCTTTGATCTCAGGACATCCCAAAGCACTTCACATCAATCAAGTCGTGTTTTGATTTTACTTGATTGTAAAGTAGGAAATGCAGCAGCCAATTTCCCCACGGTCTCCTAGAAATAACATGATAATCTGTTTTTCTGCATTTGAGGGATTTTTTTTTTTAAACCAGGCCAGAATTTTTTACATATCCTTCTTAGAAGCAGAATCTATTAGGAGGAGCTTCAACTTTTCACTGAATTGCTGCATTACCAGGAACAGATTTCATACTTTCAATATGTTCAATTTCATTAAACATCCTAAAAAGAAATTGTCAGATTAATATGTTACAACAATCCACATAAGGAGCTATTTAAATTGACGGCCAATAAATTGGACAAGTAGGTAGGTTTAAAGGGCAAACTCAGGAGGAGGGATGGAAGAATTTAAGAAGGAATTCCAGTGTCATAGTCTAGGCAGTGGAAAGTATAGCAAGCAGTAGTGGACAGATTCATAATTGGAAGAACACACAGATCTTTTTTTGAGGAGTTGGAGGAGTTTACAGAGATGGGGAAAGGTAAGATCTTTTCAGGGTTTTGAAAACAAGAACAAGAATCTTAAATTTGAAACATTGCTGGACCAGGGGACAGTGCAGGTCAGCAAAGATAGGGTTGTTGGGTGAACCAGATCCAGACAGTGGGTAACAGAGCTTTGATGAACTCAAGCTTGTGGAGGGTAAAAGACAGGAGGTTGTTCCTGAGGGGAATCATCAAGTCTAGAAGTAACAATAGCATGATCGAGCTGAGGCACAGGCGGACTGGGTGATGAAGCAGATTTGTGGGCAGCTTCTCCGTGTTCAATATGAAACCAATGCTGAAAACTGTCTGGTTCTGACTCAGCTGCCAGGAAGAGGGATAGGGTTGATGGGACTGAAACATTGAACTGGAAAAATTGTTTGTCCCTCAACACTGGAGGCTAGACAAACAATGTATCAAATCAAGAACAGGGAGGGGCCAAGAGAGAAATGATGTTGAGGTAGTGTGTGTGTCATCAAATGCAGTTAGAACGTGATGCTGTATTTTAGAATGATATCTCAAAAGGGGCAGGTGGATGAGAAATAGGAGGTAGAACCAATGATTCCATAATTTGACTGAGTGAGTTGGAACAGAATGCACTAAAGATGGTTATGGATAGATTAGAATGGAACCAGTCTCCCACTCATATAATTTAAGAAGATGCTCAAGGCAGGACAGGCAATGCCTTATGAGAAGCACTGTGATGCTTGTTTTGCTAAAGCCATCCTTGTCTGTAGTGCTGTCTTCTCTTTCAATGTGTGGCACCAAGTTTCACCAAGATTGCATGCTCACTGACAAATTCCAGTTACACAGTGTTTAGGCATTAACTTCTCTCACACACAGTTTGAAATTAGATGAGAAATTATTGACTCAGGTCTTTGGGATTTCTCTCTCCTTAATATACTCAGTGCCACTCAGTATTTAAAATAATTACAAGATGATATAAAATGCTCCAGTAAGTGTGAATGCATACTATTTTAGAAGCAAACTGAATGGCTTCAGGCAGCTTAAAGATGCACCGAGGTTTCATATTGAGGGTTTTTTTTAATGGACTGACAGAGAAACACGCCACTCTGTCTTCCATTGCATTTTTCCTGGCAGGGTGTCAGGCTGTTAACACTTCAATTTTCTTTCCCAGTTTCCCTGCTTGTTCTGCTGAAAAGACCTGGCCCCTGCTGTGATACTGTTTGAATAGGCGTCAGCCACTCTCTTATTTTACACAGCAAAGTTAGTTACTGCAATAAAATGCCACACCAAGCATTTCTATTGGCATGCTATAACTAGCATGGGGAATACGGTCAAAAATCACACGACACCAGGTCATAGTCCAACAGGTTTATTTGAAGACACAAGCTTCGGAGTCTTGCTCCTTCTTCAGGTGTCAGTGAGAGAGGTGGCATCAGACACAGAATTTATAAGCAAAGATCAAAGAATTTGGGACTTGGATATTAATCCTTTCTAACGGAGATTTAACAGCCATCTTAGGTTTATTCAATACATTCGCATCAGTTCTATGATCCTTTGATCTTTTGCTTATAAATTCTGTGTCTGTGTCCAACACTGGCCACCTCCATATCACAGCATGGGGAATGATAGTGCAATGGTCGGTCATGTTATTGCATTTGCAATCATGACACTTGAACTAATAATCTAGACAACATTTGTCCAAAATCCACTGACGTTTGAAGAATGTAATATCATAGAATATCATAGAATCCCTATGGTGTGGAAACAGGCCATTCAGTCCAACAAGTCCACATTGACCCTCTGAACAGCATCCTACCCTTTCCCTGTAATCCCCCCATTTCCCATGGCTAACGCACCTAAATTGCTGGACAGTATGGGGCAATTTAGCATGGCCAATCCACTAACTTGCACATCTTTGGACTGCGGGAGGAAACTGGAGCACTTGGCGGAAACCCATGCAGAACACAGGGAGAATTGTCTACTTGGAGTTTGCACAGCCACCCAAGGATGGAATCGAACCCGGGTCCCTGGCATTGTGAGGCAGCAGTGCTAATCTCTGAGCCACCGTTCTGCCCTTGTGAATTTAATTGAACTGTGAATTCAGTTTTTTTAAACTATCTCAATAGAATTGGCAAGGAAGATGTTAAGATTGTCATAAACACCCTAACCAGTTCACCCATATCGACTCGAGAATAAGGTCGTTAAGGGAAGGAAACCTAGGTAGACAAACAGGAGGCTGGAAGAACACAGCAAGCCAGGCAGCATCTGGAGGAATGGGTGGGGGATGGGTGGGAAGGTTATTTAAAATTGGAGAACTCCATGTTGAGTCGTCCGGGCTGTAAGGTGCCCAGGCAGAAGATAAGGTGTTGTTCTCCAAATGTGTGTTTTGAGTCACTGTAACAATGAAAGAGGCTGAGGAAGAACATGTCAGAGCAGGAGCTGAGAGAGGGAGTTGAAATGGGCGGTGACCGGGAGGTTAGGCTGGCTGTTACGGGCCAGGCGAAGATGCTTGGCAAAACAGTCACCTAGCCCACGTTTGGTCCCACCAATGTAGAGAAGACCACATCAGGAACACTGGATGCAATAAATTAGGTTGGAGGAGATGCAAGTGAAGCTCTATCTCACCTGAAAGGACTGTTTAGGGCCCCGGATGGAGGTGACGGAGGTGTTGCATCTTTTACAATTACGTGGGAAGGTACTGGGCAGGTGCAGTTAAGAGCTGTGGATTTCCCAAGCATTCTGGTGGATGTCTGCCTTTTTCAAACAGTGCTGTTTTCCCCCTCTGTCATCCAGACAGCCCTCCACAGCTCTTAAACATCGCGCCCCCCCCCCCCCAACAAACATCATAAATATAGGGTCCCCCTTGTCCTAACTTTCCACCTCACCAGTCTTGCATTCAACGTACCATCATCAAACAATTCTGCCAACTCCAATTAGATCCCACCACCTGCAGCATCTTCTACTCCCCACCCTCTCTGCCTCCCACAAGGACCATTCCTTTCTCCACTCCTTAGTTCACGCCACACTCCCCACCAACCATTCCACCCCGCCCAGTACCTTCCCCTGTAATCGTAAAAATGCAACACCTCCCCCATCTCCATCTGGGGCTCTAAACAGTCCTTCCAGGTGAGGCAGAGCTTCACCTGCATCTCCTCCAACCTAGTCTACTGCATCTGGTGCTCCCAATGTGTTCTTCCCTACATCGGTGAGACCAATCATAGACTAGGGGACCGTTCTGCCGAGAATAATGGCCAGCCTAACCACCTGGTCACTGCCCATTTCAGATTTGAAGAAGGGTCCCAACCTGAAACGTCAACTTACCCGCTCCTCTGCTGCCTGGCCTGCTGTGTTCCTCCAGCTCCACACTTTGTTGTCTCTGACTCCAGCATCTGCAGTTCTTGCTATCTCTGAGTAGTTGTTTCTTAGCTCTCTTCTGAAATAGCCTAGTGAAGCCACTCAATTGTTGAAATTAGGAGGTGAGCAATTAATGCTGCTTTTTCCTGTGACCTTCCACATCAAGAACAGCTTATATGTATTTGGCACTTTTAATATAGTGTCACGATCAATGAGTCCCTAAACCATGGTTATCTATCTGCCCTTCAGATCTTACTGACGTAAGGATTATGTATTCAAAGAAGAACAGGGGAGTTCTTAAAAGTGTAACAGCCAATTTACTCCATCAACCAAAATCATGAAAATTGTTCATAATCACAATGCTATTTATGGAGCCTGTATGCCCAGCTGTTTGCTGTGTCTCCCACATTACAGCAGTGACTGCACAGCAAAAGTAATTCAATGACTGTAATGTACTTTCAGATGTCTTGAAGTTTGCAAAAAGTGCAATATAAGTACAAGCTTTACTGTCCCATCCTGAGTGATCAGAAGTTCCACCTGGACTGATTTCCCAGTCATTTTATTTAAGCTCAATGATGGATTTCTGACTTTTGGTGCTGTCTTTCCCCACACACCACAAAGAAATGGCCTCAAAAAAAGTGGATGCATTTGTGGTCGTCAATCAAGATTCTATAGACTCTAGAACAGTTCCTATGGATTGGAGGGTAGCTGATGTAATCTTACCATTTAAAAGAGGATATAGAGAGAAAACGGAATTCAAGACCAGTTCACCTGACATTAGTAGTGGGGAAAATGCTAGAATCCAATATAAAAGATGTAACAGTCGAGAATTTGGAAAACAGTGATAGGATCAGACAGTTGGCATGGATTTACAAAAGGGAAGTCATTCTTTACAAACCGACCAGAGTTTTAAGGATAAAGTTCCTTGTAAAAGATTAGCCTGTAAAATTGCTATAGAGATCAACAGATTTCTCGACACCAATGATACCAAGGAATATGGGAATAGCGTGGGAGAATGGTGTTAAGGTAGCAGATCAGCCATGATGTGGTTGAGTGGCCATGCTGGCCCAAGGAACCAAAGGCCTACTCCTGCTGATATTTCCCATGTTCATACATCTCTAAGTTCTCCTATTTGGCAATTCTTCCCATTAAGATCAAATTGGATTGTGTGGCAGTGGAAATTAAAACTTTAAACAGAAGATGAGAAGGTTATCAAAAAGAACATATGAAATTCTTGAGTATATAGTAAAGCGATAGAGTCCAAAATCAAGGAAATTATGCTACATCTTTTATAAATAGCTGGTTAGCTGGAATGTTGTGCCCTATTCTGGGCAAGGCGCATTAAGAAGGATGTCAAAGTTTTGGAGAGGGAGCAAAGGAGATTCACTGGAATGGTATCAAAGATTAGAAACTTCAGTTTTCTGGACTGGCTGAAGAATCTGTGACTGATTTTAGAGCAGAAGTCAAGAGGGATAATTTAAGCAAAGTGTACAAAAATAATCAACAGTACATTAGGAGAATCTGTTCTTAATGGCAGAAGGGTCAATAAATATAAAACCTAGGTTATGATGACCTGCATAAAGGAAAAGGCAGTGTGGTGGCGGCAGGGCTGGGATTGTGGGGAGTGGGGTAGTTGGTAGTGATTGTGAGGATTATCTTTTTGTGTGGTGAATTAGGATCTGCAATGCACTGTGTAAATGGGAATTTTAACAAGAGGACAGAATGGATACTTGGAGGAGAAAGTTTAAGTCTACAGGAAAAGGAAAGGGGAAATGGGATTAATTGGCTTTTGTACAGTCACAAGGGATGAATGGCTTCCTCCTGCTGCATGATTCTCAGTAATTGAATCTGATTTTTGCCACTATTCTCTCTGGCAGGACTTCCTCTCTGACATGGCAATGACGGAGGTTGACCGTTTTGTTGACCGTGAGCATTTAATATTTCGTGAGAATACGCTGGCAACCAAGGCGATTGAAGAATACTTAAAGTTGATTGGTCAGAAATACCTCAAGGACGCAATTGGTAGGTTGGTGTACGTGACCGCTACACTCACTGCTACCGACACTCCTTTAACACAGGGTTTGTATCTGAGCTTGGTGTGTTTCACTTCTACCCATGAAGTGCAGCGGAGTCCGCCAGTCATCGCACCCAGACTGGCATGAAGATGTGATGCCAATTTGGAACCTATGAGGGAAATGGGGAGGCAGATGTTTAAGTGCATGGCTTAGAGAGTGCTGAAATATTGCAATCATTTTCTTTTTCACTCATAACAGTTTTGGACAAAAATAGTGGGACATCTGACTGAATGGCAGGGGTGGTTACAGAAGCTGTAATCTATAAAGGCCCAGCTGCCTAAGTTCTTGCTAATGTTAGCACCCATAGATTCCCTTTGCCAATTTTTAAACTCAGATAATGACATTAAAAGTTGATCCCTTATAGAATCTTAGAAGAAAACTATTCAGTTCCTCGGGACCGTGTGCTGACTCTTTGAAAGAACTATACAATTATTCCTGATCCTCCTGCTCTATTCCCCAGTGAAATGAGATTTAAAGGGCCTATGCATTTTAAAGAGTTTTATTATTTTCTGTTTGCAAAATATTTATATCTTTCCAATATGCTGCCAACCCTTTCGGCTCCACTTCCCACCCAGACCACCGAGCAGGTCAGAATCAACCCTTCAACACTTCACCTATGAGCCTGGGTAGATAATGGTCACAAGCTGGTGTACCACTGACTGCATTGAAACACAGCCTTGTTCCAATGCCCCACAACATACCCAGTGACAGGGACCTGGAGCGATTTCATATCCCGTTCTCAATCCTAACCCAACTTAGCACATTGAAACAGATGGTGGCCTAGTGATAATATCGCTGGACTAGTAATCAGAGACCCAGGCTGACATTCTGAGGACATTAATTCAAATCCAATTCCATTCTAAAATTCAATTGATAAATTCTGAAAATGAAAGCTAGTTGCAAACAACTATCACTGTCATTAAACACCCATCTGGTTCACTACTTCCTTAGTTGGTCTGGCCTACATGTGACTCCAGAGCAACAGCAACATGGTAGACCCTTAAATGCCCTCTGAATTGGCCTAGCAAGCCTCCGAGTTCAAAGGAAATTAGCAATAGGCAAAAATGCTGCTCTTGTCAGCAATCTCCACGTCCTGTGAAACAATAAGAAAACAGGAGTTGAATTCTGTCACTTTACAGCTTTGATCCCTCAGTCTTGCCTGTAGTGAGAACATGGGGCCCATCTCTTCCACAAAGCTCAGAGAGGTGAGAACCTCTAAACCATTAGCAAAGTTTCCAAATTTGTAATGGCTCAATGGGACTGTGGCAGGCTTGGGGTGGGGGGAGTGTGAAGAAGGCAACAGTTAAGTTGGAGGAAAGAGTTACAAGGGAGTTTGAGGACAAAGAAGATAAAACTAATACATGGGAAGTAGAAAATTCTATGGGAGTTGGTGTTGTAAGCCTCACTGTTAAGCTCTGGACAGCTAATATCGAAAGGTCCGATTACAAGTCGGGCTCCGCTGTACTTCAAGTTTTTTTAAAAATATGAAATCAGTGGTAAACCATTTCACTTCCATCACAATTAAAATGTGCTTTACTTGAAAGACCCCAACATTGAGTAGCCAAAGGTGTTGGAATTGGATAATGACAGAAGATTTCATGGGGGGTGGTCTGGAAATGGGGCCGGAGGGGTACGCTGTGCTGACAAGATAACCCTCCATTAATCTCAATAGGAAAACTCATTTCATTATACAGACAAGTGTTGACTTTCAAAGACAGGAAAAGAATGGGAGGAAACAACAGTTATTATTTATTTATATTGCTAACTGTTGGAATTCAGTTTAACAATTTGAAAGATACTTGAATTTGTTTTTCCCTTAATCATTCTGTCTTTCTCCTCCTTGCTTTCTCAATCGTTCTTTGACTTGATCTCCTTTATTATTTTTTCTCTCAGCCCCTTTCCCCTTACTCAGTTTCTCTCTTCAGTCCTTCTCCCTCCCTCTTCTCTCTCTTTCTTGATGTGTCGCTTAGCAGTAAGCACCCATTCCCACTTGAGAAAGGGTGGGACAGGGCCTTTCTCTACCACAGTTGCTCTGAGCTTGGCTGTGGATGAATCAATTTGCTCTGGGCTCCTTCTCTCAGCTTCTATGAGGTAATAGTTGGCTTAACAGTGAGGCTTTCCTCATTACAGTACTGTCTGGGTTTGAAACTTGCTTGACAGGATTCAAACTGATGTGTGACTTTGACCTCAGGGATCACCCTGATGCCTCACTCTCCATTTTAATTCCTGATTTTAATTTCTTGATATTTCCCGCATTTGTCTGCGGGTTGTTGTTTTCAAACATTGGCTTAAGACTCCACAGGTGTTTGAGCTGAGATAGAGTGAGAGACCATTTGTCTTCTGTTCTTCTTTGGGAGGGTGGAGAGCTATAGTGACAACTTCAGTGGAAATCATTACCACTAGAAACCACAGAAGTGGCTGGGACCATTGTATTTTCTGAAAGGGTTTTCTTCTCTTTTGCTTCCTGTCCTTTGTTCCTGGAACAGGGTGGTTGGGTGGGGGAGATAATTAATATTGGAGAAATTGGAGGATTCATCATAATGCCCATTCAAACATTCCCTTCAGGCACAGAATGTCTGTGAAGATATCAGAAGGTTTGCCATGGCCATGTCTAGTATTTCTCATTACTGTCCCTTTTCCTTTTTGGGGCAAAAAAACGGTCAATTTCAGTGCTTGCTCTTCAGTAAAACACTTTTAATGTCACATGTATGTTTTCTTTAAGCCATTAACCCTTTGAGTACTTGGCACCAATTGCAGCATTGTAATTCACCACTGAAAAGAGAAAAAAAAATTCCTTTCTATGGGAGAGCTCAGTTGGACAGGTGAATGTATCTTAAACAAATTTTTAAAGATTTACTCGCATTTTGCAAGTGCAGTGCTCACTCAGGTTATTGCCATTCTGATATGACACCAAAGTTGCAAACTAGCTGGTCTAATCTTGGACTGTTGGCTGGAATCAGTGTTGAGGAATGGGGTTTGGTGCGGGGCCAGAAGTGATGACTTCAGTCTTCCCAGTATTTATTTGGAGAATGTTTCTGCTCATCCAGTACTGGATTTCAGATAAATGGTCTGATAATTAAGCGATATTGTAGGATTGTAAAGAGGTGGTAAGGTAGAGCTGGGTGTTGTCAATGTACTTGGAAAAATTAACACCATACCTTTAGGTGATGTCACCAAACACAAAATGTAAATGAGAAATAGGGAGGAGACAAGAATAGGTCATTTGGGTTTACCAGAGGAAACGATACAAGAAGTTATCTTGGAAAAGAAGTTACTGCAAATGATACTCTGATTACGATTAGATAGAATGGAACCAGGTGAGAACAGTCCCATTTAAATGGATAAGTGAAGAGGAGGTGGGGGAGGATGGTGTGGTCAAACATGGTCAAGGCTTCAGACAGGTTAGGAAGGGTGAGGAGGGAAAGTTTACTTTTGTTACAGTCATGTAAGATGTCACAGATGACTTTAATAAGTCATTACAGTGGCAGACATGGAAAAACTGAATAGAGGGATTGAAAGATGAAGTGCTGGATTAGATGGCCCTGGACTTGGGAGGTGACAATACATTCAAAGATTTCCGAGGTGTTTGGAGACCAGATGGTAGTTGTCAAGGGTTGTTTTTTAAGGAAAGGGTGACGACAACAGATTTAAAGGAAGGAGCAAGATACCCAAAGAGCAAACCATTTCCAATATCAACTAACAATTGGGCCATAATGGGATGTCAGGTACTTAGTAGTTTAATGGGAATGGGATCCAGGAACAGGAGGTGGATTTCATAGATAAGATGAGCTGAGTGAGAGCAAGAGGGAAGAAACTAAGACAAAATTAGGATGAAAGGGTAGAGGGATCTTTAAAGGACATATCAGGGCCGAACTTATACCCTTAATGGTAAGGTCTTGGGGAGTGTTGCTGAACAAAGAGACCTTGGAGTGCAAGTTCATAGTTCCTTGAAAGTAGAGTTACAGGTAGCCAGGATAGTGAAGAAGGAATTTGGTATGCTTGCCCTTATTGGTCAGTACATTGAGCAAGAGTTGGGAGGTCATGTTGCAGCTGTGCAGGGTATTGGTTAGGCCACTATTGGAATACTGCATTCAATTCTTGTCTCCCTGCTACAGGAAAGACGTTGTGAAATTTTAAAGAGTTCAGAAAAGGTTTACAAGGATGTTGATAGGCTTGGAGGGTTATACGGAGAGGCTGAAAAGGCTGGGGCTAATTTCCCTGGAGCACTGGAGGCTGAGGGGTGACCGTGTAGAGGTTTGTAAAATCATGAGGGGCATGGATAGGGTGAATAGCCAAGGTCTTTTTCCCAGGGTGGGGAGTCCAAAACTAGAGGGCATAGGTTCAGGTGAGAAGGAAAAAATTTAAAAGGGACTTACAGGGCAACTTTTTGACACAGAGGGTGGTGCATGTATGGAATGAGCTGCCAGAGAAAGTGATGGAGGCTGGTACAATTACAACATTTAAAAGGCATCTGGATGGGTATATGAATAGGAAGGATTTAGAAGGATATGGATCAAATGCTGGCAAATGGGACTAGATTAATTTATGATATCTGGTTGGTATGGACGAGTTGGACCCAAGGGTGTTTCCATGCTTTACAGCTTTATGACTCTCTATTTGGTCTGGTGATCTAATGGAGGATCGGAAGCTGCAGAGATAACTGATTGAAATATCTTGATCTATGTCACAATGAGCTCTAAGTTTCTTGTACTTGTTGGAGGTAAGAGGGACAAAGAAGAGGGATAATGAAAATGATTTGCAGAGCAAAGGAAATTCCAGGCATTATCTGTTCTGTTTAGGCAAACAAGAACAAAAACCAATAGTGTTTTAAGTGGATCACATCTGGCTGTTGTCCACTGTACCTCTGCAAGGGAGCAGAGATTTTGGAAACAGAGGGTGTGAGGTGGTTGACCAAGAAAGAGAGCACTGGCTCTGGTGGGAATTAGG